CTGATGAAACAGGTACAGAGTGAAAGAAGGACACACAGCAAACGTATGTATTTTACCTTTTATTTATTTTCTGTCCTGCTACTAATGAATTATTAGCCAGCCAGCTTTCTTGTGAACAATGTTAAATATTTCTATTAGTACACATCATCATGTGAAGCTGAGGTTGATTATATGGGATAATGTTGTCCTCTGAAAGGGGCTCGTGACCACAAAACCTTTGAGAACCTCTTTTCTGGACCGAGGAGACTGAAGGTTTCCCACTGCAGGCAGAACAGACTCTGTTGGAAGGAGTAAAAGTGAGACATGAACCATTAATTTGTTTTGTTCTGTTTTTTGTTCTGTTTTGTTTTCAGATATTTGTTATTTAAGCTCATCATGGCTGACATGACTGTTAATGCCTCTGGATGATGAGCTCTCTGTGTAGTTTATCATATTTGATTCGGGTTGGTTGGGTCATTTCTGGTAGCAGGGCTCTAGACTGCAACCAATTGGGTCGCAAATGCAACTAAATTTTTCAATGGTGCCACAAAAAAAATCCTATGTCGCAGGTCTCCACAACTCTGACAGTCTCCGTGTGATCAACAACAAATACACATTATGCCCATATTGTGGTCTAAACCAATCTGAGATAGTCAGGAGCAGGACCTCTCTGATTGGCTGTGGTCCAGATATTCCTGTAGTCCTTCACGTGTACGTTTGAAAGTGCAGGTGGATAGAGGGAGGTGAGTAGCTTGAATAAAGTGATAGCAGGTGAGAGCAGGTAAACGGATTCCACACAAAGATGTAAACACAGAGCGCGGACCCGACGCATCAGAATCAGCTTTCTCTTTCTCGGCTTTCTCACTCGACGGCCGTAAATGGACACGCCGTCAGGGCTGAAAGCCGACAGCTCACTGATTCTGATGCGTCACTGATTGTGGGTAGTGAAGTGTTATTCAAAACTTTGTCGGGACGCAGAGTCCTACAGTTCTTAAGAAAATTAATATTCAATTAAAATGTTAAACACTCTTCAGTAAGTGGATAATTTATGTTTTGCTGTTTAAAACTTTCACTTGATAGATGAAATTCAGTAGCCAGGGGCAGGAAATTCAGCAAAACATCAGAACAAAGCAGTGACATTATAAACTTGTTTAACTAGTCGGACAGTGTGGGCGTGTCATCCGGGTACAGTGAGCACCTGTATTCAAATCATTAACATCTAAGAAATAAACAAGGAAGTGAGCTACAGAATAAAACACACTGATGGTGGACACTTGGTAAGCTTTGAATTATTTTCATTTTGTTCCTTTCAAAAATGATTTTATTTTTCATGTTTTGTTGTTTATAAAATTCTTTTTAATATATTATTTTAAGATGTGTCTTTAAATCCTGCAGTGGTTACACACAGTCTGGCGGGGAAGTTATACAAGTGAAAAATAGCTGAAGTAGAGGATGCTTTCTAGAATGTGTGTTATGTGCCAGGAAAATACTTTTACATAAATATTGACTCAAACTCCTGAAGCATAAAGTGATGAAGGGAGTAAGACAAGACCTTAATAGAGAAAGAACAGAATCAGATCTTATCCCAGTGCAGACAGCAAAGAGCTGCAGACAGACGGTGTTCAGGAAGATGATGAATAAATTAATCTTTGATCTGATTTATATTATATGTTTTTTTGCATTTTTGTTCTATTTAATCTTCTGTTTGAAAAGTGTAATCATCACAATGATTGTTTGTTGACACTTTGATGGTCAGATCGATTTTTTTGACAAACAATGAAACCTTAGTTATAAAGTAATATAATCTAAAAGTATAATTATGATTAAACAGGTCACCACCTTGTAGCTATCAAATATCTCAATAAACAGAAATAAAGCCAAATTATAATCTGTGTTTTATTCTCACTTTTCTCTTCCATCAGGTGACTGCAGGTTACAAACATGGAAAGGTATCACACTCTAAACCTTGTATTATCTTCACTGCTAAAAGAACAAATACAGAAATGTTTTCATACTACATGCAGTAACTTCATCATCTGCTCTCTCTTTTGCTAATTCATTTTAACCCTGCGGAACTTTTCAAGTATATGTTTCACCTGGAGAGTAAAAAATGGTAGATATATAACCTTTCCTGATTCCTTTCCTCACCAGAGGACCAGACTCTCCTGAACATGAACCTGAGCCCAGTCTCAGCTCTGTAACAATGAGGAAGAGAACCACTCAACAGGAAGACCGTCCTGACTTTAAAAGCAGGAAATTGTCTCCTGATGCAAAGTAAGAATTAACTGAATGGATCCATGAGTAATCAGTGAGAAGTTTTAGTTTGCCACACGTGTAATCATTTATTATTATTATTATTGTTGTTGTTGTTATTTTATTGCTGTGTTCATAAAAAGAAAAAACACAGCAACAAACAACAAAAAAAAGAACAGAAGTCAAAGTTGTGAAGAGCATCAAACTTTTTAGCTTTATTGTAATATTATCACTGTGACTAGATCCAAGTTTATTCAGTACTTTTCGTGTCAGAAGGCTAAAAATGTAATTTCTCTGCCTGATTGTCTTTTTCTCCGTTCAACAGGATCACTGAGGCACCAGATGCCCCTAAATCTGAACCTGGACCCAGCTGTGTGTCTTTGAAGAGTGATCGGTCAAAGTTTTTCATCTTTGAATTTAAAGGAACAAAATCCGCTCCTGCTGAGAAGTAAGTTACCTTATAGCTGTGTACTACATTGGGCCTGACATCATAAAAGCCCTGCATTCCCTGCACTGGCCATCATGCTGATTATAATTTATGTAGTAATCAGAAGGAATGTGTCAGCAGATAGTCAGTTTGACTCTGATACTGTGGGTGCCAGTTTTGCTTAGAAAGGTGAAGTGATCCACAGCTGTCTGTGTGGTGGCGGAAACCATGAGCTGCTGGAATTCTCTAAATATTAAGTTAAAGAGCTTCAATTCTTCCTTTATATTCCCAGTGGAATATAACCAGTGTTTCTTTTTTTATATGATCTGCATGAAATAAAATGACAAAATCCATTAGGATGTTGCAAGATGATCTTTTGTAGTAGATGTAGATGTAGCCTAGTGTAAGCGTATTCAAAGTGTCATCATATGATTTTTTTAAGTGTATTTTTAATTCCTCAGAAAAAAAATATCTGCTGCTGCTCTAAGATGCTCTTCTTTGCTGCAGGTATTTTAAAGACGAAAAAGCCACATTTTCAATAAAACATGTCAACACAACAAAATAAATCAGATTTTTTTTCTTATTTTTTAAAAAAAATATTTTTAATCTTTATGATGATGAAATGTACAGGGTATATCCATAATATGGTCATTGCAAGAACACACTCAAGTACAGAACCATCACTGACCTGCGGATTTTGGACTAGTGGAGTCCAATAAATGAATAAATCAATAAGTCTAAAAATTAACATAATAGGTTTGTGACAGCACAGTAGCACTTTTTTAATCAGGATGATCACCAAACAGTAGAAGAAGAAACATTTAGCTTGTATTTATGTGCAAAATAGTTCTGATTTCATCATGGTGTCTCCACAGAGCCGATCAGGAGAGTCTTCAGCATAACCAGCAGCATCAAACTGATCTGGACTCAGTATTTAAGGTTTGTATATGTACGCCAACCTCTGTTTGTAATTATTTTAATTTTTCACAGTTCAATATTCATCATAAAATAATGCCAAATTTCCACAAATAATTCAAAACTGAAATATTTTCACTTGATTTTTTATTTATAAAGCATTTTTTAAAACTAAGTTTCAAACTGCAGATAAAGAAGAGAAGCAATAATGGCAATTAAAAAAATTATGTGCAGAAGGATGAGGAAATGATTAAACTTCTTTGATTCACAGTATCAAAAACTGAGCTAATGAGCAGCAGATCATTGGGACCTTGATGAAAGGAGTCTCGGGATTACGATGTGAACGAATCAAAGACTGAAATTTTCCAAAGATCTGAGTTTTTGTTTATATCATCAATGAATTGAGTGGCAAAAGATTGTTCCCCCTAAAATTGTCAATAAAAAGCATCATGTGATGATAAAATTACTTAAAATTGATGGATCAAAGCAGGCTTTTTTGTAAACATCATAAATACATGTATTTATTTATCACATTTTTTCAGTTCAATGTTAATAATTACTGTTCTTATATCAATAAGAGCCAAAATGACAATCCACAAAAAAAATATTCAGAAATGTTATACAACGATAACATTTTTGAATTATATTTTTTTTCTCTGACAGGAGTTTTATTTTTATGTTTTACTTGCATATATTTTAACACTTTATTATTTTTTTTTCAAATTGAAAACACACAAAACAAATCTGTGAAAATTTATTTTTACAATGAAGATCTGATTTTCGTTAATTCAGATTGTGTCATTTATTTTCCAGATGCTGGAGGAAAACATTATCACTTTTGTGAAGAACGAACTAAAGAAGCTGCAGAATGACCTGAATCCAGATTATTCAGAGTGTCAGAGGGATGAACAGAAGGTGTTGGACAGTGAGGAAGAGAAGCAGAGAAGGAGCAGCAGAGAGGCATTTCTGAAACTTGCAGTTAACTTCCTGAGAATAATGAAACAGGAGGAGCTGGCTGACTGTCTGCAGAGCAGTGAGAGGATTTCTCTTCATAAATTCAGTCTTTACATGAATGAAATTGTCACATTTTCTATAATCATAACACTCATGTTTCTGGTTCTTCCCTGTAGAAAATCCTGATCCACTTTGTGAGTATACATTTAAATGTAACCTGAAGAAGAAGTTCCAGTGTGTCTTTGAGGGGACTGCTAAACCAGGAACCCGAACCACTCTAAATCAGATCTACACAGAGCTCTACATCACAGAGGGAGGGACCGGAGAGGTCAACACTGAACATGAGGTCAGACAGATTGAAATGTTTTCCTGGAAACCAAACAGACCAGAAACAACAATCAGGTGTGAAGAAATCTTTAAAGCTTCAACTGGAAGAGACAAACCAATCAGAACAGTTCTGACCAAAGGAGTGGCTGGCATCGGGAAAACATTCCTGACACAAAAGTTCACTTTGGACTGGACTGAAGACAAGACCAACCAGGACATCCAGTTCATTTTTCCATTCCCATTTAGAGAACTGAATTTACTGAAGGATAAAAAGTTCAGCTTAGTGGGACTTATTCATCACTTCTTCACTGAAATCAAAGAAGCAGGAATCTGCAACTTTAAAAAGTTCAAAGTTGTGTTCATCTTTGATGGTCTGGATGAGTGTCGACTTCCTCTGAACTTCCACATCACTGAGATCCTCACTGATGTTACAGAGTCCACATCAGTGGATGTGCTGCTGACAAACCTCATCAGAGGAAAGTTGCTTCCTTCTGCTCACATCTGGATAACCACACGACCTGCAGCAGCCAATCAGATCCCTGCTGAATATATAGACATGGTTACAGAGATCAGAGGGTTCACTGACCCACAGAAGGAAGAGTACTTCAGGAAGAGACTCAGAGACAAGGAAGAGGCCAACAACATAAGCTCTCATATCAAGACATCACGAAGCCTCCACATCATGTGTCACATCCCAATCTTCTGCTGGATCACTGCTACAGTTCTAGAGAGTTTGTTAAAAACCAAACCGGCTGGAGGGAAGCTGCCCAAGACACTGACTGAGATGTACATTCACTTCCTGGTGGTTCAGACCAAAGTGAAGAACATCAAGTATGATGGAGGAGCTGAGACAGATCCTCTCTGGAGTCCAGAGAGCAGGAAGATGATTGAAGCACTGGGGAAACTGGCTTTTCAGCAGCTGCAGAAAGGAAACCTGATCTTCTATGAATCAGACCTGACAGAGTGTGGCATTAATATCAGAGAGGCCTCGGAGTACTCAGGAGTGTTCACACAGATCTTTAAAGGGGAGGGAGGACTGTACCAAGAGAAGGTGTACTGTTTTGTCCATCTGAGCATTCAGGAATTTTTAGCTGCTCTTCACGTTCATCTGACATTCACCAACTCTGGTATCAACCTGCTGGAAGAAGAAGAAACAGCCTCAGTGCAGACTGGAGAGTCTTTAGTACAATATTTCTACCAGAGTGCTGTGGACAAGGCCTTGAAGAGTCCAAATGGACATCTGGACTTGTTTCTTCGCTTCTTCCTGGGTCTTTCAATACCAGCCAATTGGGATCACCTACAAGGCCTGCAGGCCATCAGCTCACAGATAAATCAGGAAACAGTCAAATACATTAAAGAAAAAATGAATGGCACTCTCTCTCCAGAGAAAAGCATCAATCTTCTCCACTGTTTGAATGAATTGAATGATGACTCTGTAGTGAAGGAGATCCAGAATCACCTGGGTTCAGGACATCTGTCTAAAGTTAATCTCTCTCCTGCTCAGTGGTCAGCTCTGGTCTTCATCCTACTGTCATCAGAAACAGGTGTGGATGTGTTTGACTTGAGGAAATACTCAGCTGCAGAAGAGGCTCTTCTGCAGCTTCTGCCAGTGGTCAAAGCCTGTAAGAAAGCCCAGTAAGTATCCAGTAGGGCTGGGTATCGTCACTGATTTCTAGAATCAATTCGATTCCGATTCACAAGGTCCCGAATCTATTCAATCCACGATTCAATTCGATTCAATTTGATTCGATTTGAATGGGGAAATTTTACCTCAGACAGTCAGAAATATTATAATTCTGATCACGTATCAGTACATTTACATATTTTTATATCTATAAAAAGAAAGCTGACACTTGGGAGACTTTATCAAAAGTGTAAGCATCACAGCAGATGGGATTTTGTAGCAGATGATCTTAAAAATGTTCTGCAGTAGATCAAAAACGACAGAAAACCATTAATCAACATATGAACATGCTGTTGAAGTGAAGCAGAGCAAAGTTACAGCGGTTTTATTACAGACACAGCTAAACGTTTTGCAATTTTGTATAATTTTAAAAAGTTAAAATTTTTTCAGTAGCCTATTGACAGTAAGGCTGTCAGTGCTGTAAACAATGGTAGACTTGTGCGTAACAAGCGAGCGAATAACCCAGAAAACAGATCTTTAGATGGGAAACTATTCTTGAAGTACACACACATAGAGAGAGAGAGAGCTGTGGATGAAGTGTGATTTTATCATGGTGGAAGCAAAACAGCAAAAGTAAGAGGAAATTCATGACGATATTTATGTGAAGCAAAATGTGAAGCGTAGTTTGGATCTTCTTTTGCTGCTGGTTCAGTCAATATTGTTTGGAGAGAGATAAAAAACCTCCAGCTTCAGAATCAGCGCACAAAGGGCATAAACACGAAGCGTGGGCCTGCCGAAACCTAAGAATCAGCGAGCTGTCGGCTTTCAGCCCCAACCTTGTCCACGCCTGTGCCGTCGGGTGAGAAAGGCAACTTCTCACTGATTTTGATCCGTTGGCGGGTCCGCCGACCCGTGTTTACATCTTTGTGCAGAATCCACATACCTGCTCTCATTTACTGTTTTAGCTGTGTTGTGGTTGTTGACATTTTGTGAGGTTTAATCTGAGATTCTGGCGTTTCGTGCTAAATAAATGTATATTTAAAAATCGATTCAGGATTTTAATGAATTGATATCACGTTATCCAAGCTAGAATCGATTTTAATCGATACATCAATAATCAAAACCCACCCCTAGTATCCAGTTTAATCCTGGTGAGAGACTGCGTCAAGGTGTTTATTTATTAGAGTTTGGAAAGTTCACTGATATACTGATATGTTTCTAGGTTGAGTGGCTGTAAACTCACAGAGAGAAGCTGTGAGGCTCTTTCCTCAATTCTAAGTTCCCAGTCCTCCAGACTGAGAGAGCTGGACATGAGTAACAACAACCTACAGGACTCAGGAGTGAAGCTGCTTTGTGTTGGACTTGGGAGTCCACACTGTATGCTAGAAACTCTCAGGTTAGCTGACTCTTTGTTTCAGGAGATTTGGATATTTCACAACTGTTATTATTTTATAGATTTTAAGATGTTGTTTCTGTTGTGGTGTAAGCTCTGAAGGAGAACAGTAGAGTAGAAAAACACACACACTTCATAAATCATAAAAATATAACTTTATTTATGATTGTCTATCATAGCAAAAAAGACAGAAAGTCAATGCTTTTATTTCTTTTTTAAAACTGAGTGAAGAAAAGACAGTTTGTTTGTTTTTGTAACAACTGTAACTGAAATCTGAATCTGTTAATTCGACTGCATTTACATTATCAAATTCAGTTCCTTACAATGATGTGACATGTTGTATGTGTTTGAAGGTTGTCAGGCTGTCAGATCACAGGAACAGGCTTCACCTCTCTGGCCACAGCTCTGCGCTCCAATCCCTCCTATTTGAAAGAGCTGGACTTGAGCTATAATCACCCAGGAGACTCCGGAATGAAGCTTTTGTCTGATCAAAAGGAGGATCCACATGTGAAACTGGACATACTCTGGTAGGAAAAGAGGAAATAAAGCTAAAAAAAAATTTTTCTCCAGCATATTGTAAAGTAACCACTGATCTGATTGCCAGTAATACAGTCTGTATGTCCAGTTAAATGGGCAGCTGTGTTTGGGTGAATGACTCAGAACCAATCGCAGTTAAAAGCCCATCTGTGGGCACACAAGGAAGCTAGTGATGTGCGATACCACTGATTTCCTTTCCAATCCAATACCAAGTAATATTCAGGGTGGTATCGACGATACTGATCCGATACCGATACTTTATACAAAAACGTATTTTATTTATTGTATCTCAAATTATAGCGTCATAATGATTACAGGACATCAGATTACTTGTTCTTATCACTTAATAATGCAGAGTTCATCATATAGAAATAAAAAAAACTGAAATTGTGCGCTATTTGAACACCTTGCCTGCCTGCAGCACTAAAGGACTCCACGAGAGAGGTCTGTCTAGCCCTAGCAGCATCTGTCCCTGTCCTCTTCAGTTCGTCTCAACATATGCTCGTCATATTCTGTGATATGATTTACTCTGAGGTGTTTGACGAGGTTAGTGGTGTTGCCACAACCATACATGCCAACCCTCCCGATTTTTCCGGGAGAATCCCGGAGCCACCATTCTCCCGAATTTCCACCTGGACCACAAAATTGAAAAACCATATCGCAGAATTCCTAGCATGGCCCAGCCAATTCCAGTTTCCAACAATGGCGGCAACTACTTAGTTTTAATATTACTCTTATTTCTCTTTCTGGGTTGCAAAAAAAAAAGAACTTTTAACATATTTTCAGGTGAGAATGTGTGTGAGCTGTGTAAACTTCAAATATCTGAGCCTACCGACACATCGTTTTCAAACCCCCGCGGTCTTTCGCTACTCGGGTTAAACATGATATATAAGTCACTTTGATAACTTAAAAATGTTATTGTTTGGCTTTTTCAGTGTTTTATTTGTTCGTGAGTAAATCGGTTTGGCTGAGATTAAAGTTATTACATTAGATTAAATTAAATTTAACTTTATTAACCCATGGAGAGGGTTCCTCCGGGGCTTTCACACAGCTGAATAAACATCAAACAGAAAGCTAATTAAAGAAAGTGTGAGACGGTCGAGAGTTTACGTCAGCGCCCGGTTATATTTTAGACAGCAAGGAGCAGACGGCACAGTTTCACTCCACCGAGGGAGCCTGTGACGTACTACCCGGCTTTCTTTAGACCGCGAAGGCCGGTCATCAGGTGGAAGCAACCTCTGAATTTGGACACCCCCGCTGTTTCCGGGCCGGTTAATAATAACGGTGACGTTTAACGTATTTTATCCGATAAATAAACCCTGTAAAATGTATTTATCATCCATCCCCCCAACAGCCCTTTTGAATGTCTCCCTAATTCTGAGGTCTCAAGGTTGGGAAAGTATGGCCACAACACCTCACCTTTTGCCACATGTATTGCAAACCACGTCTCAGCTGTTTGTGGAGGTAAAATACGTCCGCACAATTACGCTCAGTCATTGTTGTGAGTGCGCGTGCCAAGGGGCTGCGAGACATTTATACAGCCGTATTTCGCACATGACTATGAAAGGCGGAAGAGGAAGTAGTTCCTTTGAATGTAGACAATCCGAATGTTATAGTTTCTTTCCACTGTGTTTCTGTTAAAGATAAACTACAAATTTAACCTAAATTACTGAAATATCGATATTTTAATGTGAGAATCGATTCTAGAACATAAATGATTGGTATCGGAGGAATCGATATTTCAGGATCGATCCGAACATCACTAAAGGAAGCATTCACAGCTTGAAGGAGAATGTAACAAAAGTCTGAAAGAACTGGACAGGCAATTAACTTTGACAGGGTGACATTCGACTCTTTTGCCATTTTAAATAAACAAAAAAATCAATGTATATTTACAACCATACAGTCACAGTATACTCAGAAGGAAATAAAGTCATGGTTAAAATAAATACAAAGATATCTGTGTTAGATTGTAGAAGCAGGAGACAAGCTGGACACAGTGTTCACCTGGACAGCTGACTTTGAACACACAATATCCTCAGCAATGTTGGGCTTTGAAAAAGCAATTAGTTATAGTTCCTAGTTACTTCCCCAAGTTAGTAACTGAGTTACAATATTAGAAAAGTAACTAATTGCTAGGTAAAGTAACTATTGCGTTACTTAAAAAAAATGTTTAACCCTCTGGGGTCCAGGGTGTAACTCTACTTTTGATTTTCCCTCTACATTTCACCTCTAAAAACTGTTTATCTTGCCTTGTTTGGTATCATTCTTTTCAGCACAACCTCACATGTCTGAATTTACTGTATTTTTTATTTTGACATACTGTATTAACACAATTGATCTAAAATCACACATAAAACATAAAATCAGGAGAGTAGAATTTTTTTTATATTTTTTTACTGTAATAACCACAAACATGTTTAATGAATCATATTTCATAACTTTAAATGCAAATAGAAATTGTAAATTTTAAAATCCTGACACCATTTACATTGTAATATGCCTTTGGTGGCTTTTTGGAAGCACCTGTGACATTCAGCAGTCGCCTCATTTTTCTGACACACAATACAAAACTATCAACTACACTACAAACTAACTATGCAAGACAGCACACTAACTACACACTCCAAACACACTAAACGTCACAAATCTCTCACATCTCAAAACTCTCTCTCTTTTTTTCTGCTCTCTTTCTTTCTTTCTCTCTCGCTCTCTCACCGAGAACACTCCTAAAACTTCTCCCTTTTCCGAAACAACCAAATGCCATGTTGCCATATCATTTTTTGATTGGTCGACATGGCACATTTTTCCACCAAACAATCAACAGGCAATCTTTGTGCACATGCATCTGCAGACACTATGCGCTAAAGCACATTTTTTCTACATTTCTAATAGTTTATGAAGAAAGCCTTGTTTAGCTTTAACATTAGCATTTTTTGTGATGAAAGTATTTAAGAAAAAAACATTGCGTATATGTTTTTTGTTTTTTTTATCATGACTCTGGTTTTACGTGGCCTATCAACACAATTTAAAATCTGGCACATGACATAGCACCTTGTCACTATGTCATCTTAAAGTGGTAAAGTGGTCATGTGATTGGTTTACCACAACTACTTTATTCTTCCTCAGCCAATCAGCAGCACTCATGCAATTACCCCTCCACCCCCATCTCCCGGTCAGCTGAAGACAGCTTTAACCGTGTGTTGAAAAATAGTATTGCGACCGCACTGCATTTTCTTGTTCATTACGGGTAATGGCGTTGCAACGATAGAAATAGGAATTAGATAGATTACTCGTTACTAAAAAAAGTAACACCGTTAGTAATGCCGTTACTTTTAATGCCGTTATTCCCATCACTGATCTTCAGCATATTTACATGATGATGAATGAACTATAAAGACTTTCCATGATGCTCATGCTGCCCTGATGCCTCCTGCTCTGTTATTCCCACTGACACTTCTGGTGGAAACATCTCATAAACAACAGGAGAAAGACGTGCAGGTTCAGTGGAACCAAAACCACAGACTCTGAGTAAAATCTCGTGGCCATTTCAAAATATCTGTCATCCACAGCAGTACAGGTGGTAAATAAAGTTAAGGAAAGTTTATGTAATGGTTTAGAGGTTGCACAGAATGACATGTTTGTTCAGATTTAGAAGGTAATGGACAATGTGAAAATTGTGTTGTGACTGGTCAGAATTAGCTCACAAAAATTAATAAATGTTTTTAAATATTTATTTTGGAAAAAAACTGAAAATGAAAGTTAATTCTTCACCAGCTTCTAGCTTTGTTTGACGGTGTGTAGGACAAACTGGATGTCACATACTCCCAGAAACCTTGAAAGCCAACCAGACTTTGAGGGTATTTCAAGGTTCTTTATTTGTCACATGCATAATTATACAAGTATAACACACAGTGAAATGTAACCTGACACGCTCCACGACATGTGCAAAAATGGGGGGGGTAGAGAAAGAACATTATATATATATTATATACATTAGGTGAATGTGCAGTAGTAGCAGCAAGCAGGTGAATTCTGTACATTAATAAGAATAGACAATCTGACTATTTTACAGAATATTTTCCCACCAATGCTGGAACAACAATGACAAAGACAGAAGCTGACTCAGACTCAAATAGCTTAAAACCTATGTGATTATAAGAACGAACAAACACATTGTAGTGACAGAAACACAGGGAGGCAGAAAATAAACCAGACTGAAATCAAGAAATGCTGCTACAAGAAAGTATGAAACCAATACAGAATATATAATCATGAAACCAAGAATAATCAAAAGTGAAAAACCAGAATAACCCAAACATCCCAAAACTCCAAAAATCTATCATGACATCATATTACACTTTTGTTTCATTGCTCCCTCCTTACCACATTCATTGTTATACCTTGCCAGTGTTTTGGGTCAGGTTGTCTTCCCAGAGTTACTCTCAGTTTGGAGCTTACTGTGTACCTTGATGCCAATAAATGCTGATCCACTGTAAGCTTTAAAACAGGATTTTGACTTTACTAGTGTCAAATAAAAGTGAAATAAGCACTTGCTATTTCATGCAGTCAGGCCCGGCCCTAACCAATCTGGCGCCCTAGGCAAGATTTTAGGTGGCGCCCCCCTACATCGGCAGTGTAGTGTATGTACTCACAAGAAACCGAATAGCTTTGTCTTTGA